AAGTAATTGATAGAAGTAAAACAAATACAAGAAAAAAATAAGAACCAACTCATTTATCTTTTATACTATAATAGTATTTTTTATCAATAATTTCTATTAATAATAAAAATATTTTAAAAAATAATTAGATATTTTAAATTAATAAATAGTTTAAATATGTTGCAAAATTAATAGATTTTTTTTTCAGTTAAGATAAAATATAAAAAGATTGTAGAAACTTTTTTTTTTTTTTTTTTTTTTTTTTTTTTGAGATATTGGAGGATACCAAAAATATCATAAAATACTCTCTAAAGTTGTGTTAATTCTAAAAACATCTACGACTAAAATCTCATGTGGTACATGAAAGTGCATATTAAGGTACTTGATTTTAAAGTCAAAATTATTTAAATAAATATGATGCATACAAGAATATTGTGGAATTCTAAAAATAAACAAATATACTGATGTGTTTAAATTAAAATCATTAAATGATGCTAAATCAACATATATTTTGAACTTTAAAGCTTAGAGATGTAAATAATTTATTAAAAAATATATTTATATATATATATATATATATATATATATATATATGTATTTATTGTTTTGTTGATTACAAGTTCAATCCTGTTCTTTCAAAAAAAACAGAAAAAGAGAAAACCTTTAGAAAATATTTCTAAAATAATTATAATTTATCTTAAGAATTTATAATGTTAAATACACACATTTTTTAAACTTTATTTATTAATTTTGTAATTAAGAAGAATAAAAATAAATTTAATTGTATAATTTTATTTTTTATGATTTAGTGTCGATTTAAAATTTTAATGCCACTAAATCATAAAAATAAAAAAAATAATAAAAAGTCTAAATAATATACAAGAGAAGTTTTTTTTTGAATTTTAAATAAAATCTTAAAATACTTCTTTTGCATCTTAAATAAAAATTTGAACTCAAAATCTACAAATCTTATTGTTTATAAGTTGTATAATATATGATAAAATTTATTTTTTAAATTCTATTTAGAGCCTATAATATATAATAAAATTTATTTAAAATAAGAAATCTAAATTATATGTATTATATATTATTTAATCTTTTGTATATATTATCAGACATGCACAGTTAAAGAACAATAGCAATAGAAGTATTAAAAAAATAAATAAGAATAAAAAAGTTATTATTAGACTAATAACAATGAAATAATCGAAATATTCCAAAACTTATGTTAATTAGATTAAGATATACCTTTTCCATTTTTATTTCTACTTTGGCAAATAGATTTTGTAAAGACTTACAACATATATTCTAAAACATAAAATATTATAGATGTCTAAGTTTTTTATTTTTTTATTATTGAAACTTCTAAAAGATGGAAAAATATTTTAAATGATTATAGAAGACTATAGGGGGCTACTAGGAGATAGGAGATTGAGCAAGATTCATAAGAACTTCTAAATTATAAAGCTCTATAGTTATATAGTTAGTTTTAAATGTCAAGGATATAATTCTTGAGAGACTCAAAAATAACACAATGTATATCTTGAGTAACTTAAATAAATAAAAAATCAAACAAAACAAACAAATCAAACCAAAAGAACATAAATTTATTAAAAAAATAATCCAAAGTGACTAATAACCACTACAAAAAAACTATAAAATTTTAAATCATGACTAGAATATAAATAATGTATTGATAAGATTGAAGATAACCTCAATCTTGTTTCTTCATAAACAAGATAAAAAGAAGACTATGTGAGAGTTGCTTAATGACCAAAAAAGTTTTAGACCAAGCATTTTAAGTTGTGAAATGCTAATATAATAGAGTTTCTTGAGTACTATAGAAATTTTAAGTTTTATTTTATTAAAAACTTAAAGTCTTATATTTGGTTGTTTTTTTAAAAATTATTTTAATAATTCAGTAAAAAAATTTAAATTATAAAAAATATAAACCTAAATTCTATAGATAATAGAATTGTTTTTCTTATATTGGAAGATATTTGAATTATTCTACATTAATTTTATATTCTATATTTCTTAAGAATGTAATATTAAAAAAAATATAAATTTTCCTAAAAATTCTAAAATAATTGAATTGTAATTTTTTTAATATTTTCAAAGAAGTATTGAATAATCAATATATGAATTTTATAAAAATGTAAATTTTTAAACAAAAAATTTAAGAATCAAATAAATTGCAAAACAAAATCTCCACATTATATTATAGTTTATATAAACATTTGATTATTTAATAAAATATTATGTTAATTTAAATAAGTTTGTAGTTTTTAAAAAAGTACAAAATATATTTGTTTATATGTATATTTGAAAGATAAAAACAATTTTCTCTAAAATTTTAAATTTATTAGCTACTGTATAAATTGCATTGTGTTTTCTATATGGATATTAATATTTTTGCTAAAAGTGTACTTAGGTTACGTAATATTGGATTCTACTGTTAAATAATAAGATAGTATTAGTCTTCATAGTATCCTTCTAATGAATTTATTTGAATATAATGAAGGTGGATAATGTTTTGGTTATAACTCAATGAAAAGAATTCATTCGATGATAAATATTTAAAACTTAGACCTAATACTGTAATAATTCCAAAAAGAGTTTTCCTTGCTTTTTAGAATAATCTACAATTAAAGAAATTATTCAAGATGGCACAATTAATAAAGAAAAGCCTTTTGTTTTTTATGTTTTCATAATAAGACAATTTTAATGTTGGTAGAAATATGAGGCAAATTTTATAAATTGAAAATATTATAGTTTTACTTTTTAATGCATTTGTGCTATTATTTTCTTTATCTTTGATATATTTTTTTTAGAGAGTTCAAGATCTGTTTTACACCAAATTTATAGAAACAAAAAAGTTTAAGATGAGAAACCAAAAACAAGAGCATTAAAAAAACACCAATTAAAAAGATACTAGTTTGTGATTTTAAAATTAAAAAAATAATAATCAGTTTTTTATTAGAATTAATATAAAATTAATATTTAAAAAATATATATTTAAATTAGCTATCATAGAAATATATATATATATATATATATATATATATATACATATACATTCAAAACATTAAGACGTTTACAAATATAATATGTATGTGTGTAAATCTATTTTAAAGTTCTTTAATTCTAAATGGTCTCAATATAAGTATCTTTTAATTTAAACTCTTGTTTCAAAAATATTAGGATATTCAGAAAAATATATAAATTTAACACCTTTTTAAGAGATTTTGATAATAATTCACTATAAAAATTTATTATATCTGATTTATTTCTAACTATTTTTCTATTCAACTCAATGAAATGAGTTTTTTTTGGTTAAAATTGCATATTTTTTAATTAATTATAAATGACAAGTTAAATATACATGTTTTGATGTATATAGCTTTTTAATTTTTAATTTTTAATTTTATATTCCTTTTACACCTTATTGTTCTTGTTGTGTTCAAGCTTCAATATACCAAAGCAATTAAACTAATAGAGGTGGGTTCAAACACGGGGAAAGACTGATTATATTAATTGGGTCTATTAGTGTCACAATTGACTGTATTCTGGCTATTTGAAATCAAGTATCAAACTACAAAACACCGAGGCTTACTACTTCCATCTTAATTCAACCCATAATCCATTCTACCATTATCAATTCAACAATACTTCTCTCAATCACAATTCTTCATAAGCAAATAATAAAAAAAATAAAGAGGTAGCACCAAGCTTACTCCGGCTTACGACTCTCACAGTCTGGCTCTCGGCTTACAACTCTCTCAGTCTAGCTCTGATCTCTCTTTCCTCAACCTATTTATCCTAACAAAAAGATGATCCATCCGCCAACGGATCCCAAAGGTTATGACCCTTTGAGTTCTTAACCATTTATTCCACTAACAACCTACTGTTACCAACTAAACTGCCTAACCATCAGTCTAATTCTCAAGGTTATCAATAACCAACCAATAACTTACGACAAAGTTTATTTACCTATTCTACACACCTTCATTGATGATGTTCAATGATATCTTTTATTATATTATGTGCAGCCAAATTTACAGATTGGATTTTTTATTTTTATTTTTATTTTTTTCCTTACATCAATGTCTATTTTACTGTTAAAAAGTGATATAATGAGATATAATGAGTTTTGATTTCTTTTATTTGTATTGAAGATAAAAAAAGAAAAAAGAAAAAAGAAAAAAAAGATAAGGGTAATGAAAAGGAATAATAATACTTTGTATAGTAATTTTGATGTTAAAATTTCAATTGAGTTTACATGAATTCATATCTTTGCAAAAGAAAACATAAAATTGGCATAGTGTAAGACGAATTTTGACAAATAGATTATTTTTTTACTCTCCTAAATGCTTTAATGTTTGAGTACATGCAACTGATTAATAGTCATGTGTATTTATCTTGAAATCAATTTTTTTATTATTTGTTTAAAAATTCATTTTTTTGTGATGACTTCTCTATACATATGTATGTCTTGAAAATTTGCATGTGTCTTGCCTACAGCAGAGTTTAGGTTTGCTTGGCAATTTTAGAGTAGAAATTCAACATAATCTCTATTTTAGACTCAAACTTTTGGATTTGATAAATATTACTATAAATCATAACTAGACAATATCATTTTTTTGAATCCAAGTCCCTTTTACAAAGTATTTTGAAAATATTTAAAATATATCATGTTTGGAGAACCTCATAAAATGATTTACCAAGTAAAATAAAAATATTTCTTGGTAGACTTCATACAAAATGAGACTTAAAAAAAAGACGAGAAGAGAGAATCCCAATCTTGAAAATGCATAAAATGATAGCATTCAACACCATTTCACTACAAAATAAACTTGAGAGAGCCGAACTATACAGCCCATCAAGCAAAATAAAAATCGTGAGGCAGTTAAAATCAAAGGTAGTGGCCACGTCTTCAGTGGTCGACGTGGCAAAGCTCCACGAGATTCTTGAACCACGTAGGCACGCAATTCAAACCAGCTCTTCGTCAGTGGCCAAGGCTGAATGGCGTCCGGGCGTGACTTTCAAGGACGCGGGACCAGGCGATCCCCGAACGAGACCACGGAATTTGACGAAGAAATTTTGTCTGCATGGAGTTTCATGGAGCTAGTGAGATTGAGTGAGTGGGTGAGTGGGTGAGTGAGTGGCGATGGCTGTTTGTTGTTCATGTAAAGCAGCCTCCACTCTCGGCGAAGGAATCCCACAGAACGATACCCTTTCGTTGAAGCTGCGAAACTGCCGCGGGAATGATTCTGGACGGAGAGGAACCTGGGGCGTGGAGGTGAATGCGTCAATTGCTCCTTTTGGAATTCCAAAATGTTCAGTTTGCAAAATTGGCGTTGCTTGATTGGCGTGTGATGGGGGTGCCACTGGCGCGCTGAAGAATTGGCAGCTCGAGGAAAGGGAGTTGTTGGTTCGGAGGGAGGAGTGTACTGAGTCGTGTGCTGGGACAGTTTGAAGTTCGTGCAGAGGAGTTTGGGTCCAGGATGAAGTTTGTCCTTGTCACTGGGAGGCGTGGTGAGCGGCCTCGGGAACGGGGGTTACAGCCATCGGATCGTTCTAAAATGCATGTGGTCTTCGATCAAAATTGATATTCCCAATGCGAAAATTTGCTGACTTTTTGGTTGTAATTCGTGATGGCTTCGAGTGTTGGTGTTGGGTTGACGATTTAGGGTTTTCCGTCGGTTGGATTTTGAAAACTCTGAAATTACCTCTTTGCTGAGGTTAGCTTCCTTCTAAGAGCACTTTTTTTTTTTTTTTTTTTTCTTTTCTTTTTTCTTTCATTCTGATTATCTTCTCTGGGATAAGAATCTTAATGTGGTAGCTTGCTCCTTTAACACGAGATCATATTGTGTAGACAAGGGCGTTAGCTTCGGTGTTGTTTTAGCGTATTACTTTCACTTTAAGTTAAAAGTTCATAGACAATGTGTAATCGATTTCTGAATTTCCTCTCCCCTCTTTTGCATACTTTCAGATGGTTACTTGAACACGGATTCCGGAAATATGTCACCTTTCGAACATGAGGAGGTTTTTGTTTTGGACTATGGTGGTGAGGTGAGTTTTCAGCATTCTATTACATAATTTAGACCGTGATATGGATTGTTGAGACAATGCGCAGAATTTTTAATTGCTGTTGCTGGCAGCATATGAGACAAAGCAACCCATTTGCTGGCTAGTTTATGGGTGATTCTAAAAGTATTTTTTCGACCAATGTGTATGATTGAAGCAGCTTGAGACTTTCCAAGGATGTTTTTTTGAAGCATATTTCTAGGTTTTGCCTCGGTTGTACACAAATTGTACGACATTCTAGTTCCTCGAATGTGGGAATTTTTTTTATCGTACTTACATGTACTCTTAATATATGAAGGTAGATTTGAATCTTGGTAATTACGAGCGCTTTCTGGACGTCATATTGACACGAGACAACAACAAGACCATTGGGAAAATTTGACTAGGTAGTATGCAGGATTCATATTAAAGTCATTGAATTAGTTTTTGTTCGGACTTCTGGTTATCTCGTTACTTGTTATTCCATTCATATTGAAGCGCCTCCACCAGTCTTCCCTCCACCAGTCTTCCCTCGCCTCCACCTGTCTTCATTTTCAGTTTTTAATACTGAGTGCAGAGAGCGGATATGTAATTTTAAGACCAGATAAAGCATGGCGTCTATTTGTGCAGAATTTGAGTGCTCTTTTATGGAGAATTGATTTTCGGGTATATTTCTACTAATCCGATTGCTGTGATACAGGCAGTGATGGAGAAGGAAAGGCAAGGTGATTTCCTAGAGAAAACTGTTCAGGTGTGCTTGTTCAGAATATTTCAGTTGGTAAATTTTTTAGTCTCCGTTAGTGGTAACTTCAATTCGAAGAGTTTCTATATTTCAAGCATACATCACTCCTTTTTTAGTGTGGTTTTTGTCGAATCTAAATATTGAAAATTTTACCTGGATTCGAGTGCTTTTCAATAATTTGGCCAGAGTCTTGACCCAGTTGTTTTAGATATGCAGCCACTTGCTATCTATGCGCATTCGATATTAGCCCTATATGACGTGTTTCACAAATGTGACCTCTGGTAATTGCTCTGATGGCATGTGGTCGTGATAGGTTGTACCACATATCACAGACGCTATTCAGGACTGGATTGGACGAGTTGCTTTAGTTCCAGTGGATGGACTCTCCGGGAGTGCCGATGTTTGCGTCACTGAGCTGGATGGCACCATCAGTACTTGTTTGGCTCTCGTCGCTTCGATTGTTTGTCAAGGTGATGAGGTTAGGGTCAGAACTTTGCCAGAAGTCCATGCAATTAATTGATGACCTGGACAATGTTTTCCTAGCGGGGGGATATTAATATACTGTGACTGGTCTTGTAGAATCCCCGTGCTTTGTGTTAGTTTGCATTGGGATCTTGTCTTATGTTTGGCCCTTTTTAACTTCCGGGTTTTATTGTGTTCATCATTAAATGTTTTACATTTAGATGCAGTACAGATTTTCGGCGAATTTGTATCCTCTTTATTTCAAGGTTCATTACTTTCTAATGGAATTGTCTGGATTTGTTTGCAGGTGCCATCAAATCCATGCCTTTCCTCGAAGCTCTCCTGCAGGTCCAATTTCGAGTTGGTAATTTTTGCATCATGTATACAATTTGCTGTGCTGGAAAGCATTATGGGCTCATGTTGGATTCCTTTCTCGGTAACTGTTCGAGTGGTTTTTCATTGGTAATTGGGTCATTCAGGTAATAGCAACTTCTGTTTGGTCCATGTAAGCCTGGTTCCCGTTCTGGGTGTCGCTGGCGAGCAGATCATGGAATAATTTCCTCGTGGATCGTGACTTTTCTGTTTTCCCGCAATTTAAGAATGCCTCATGCCAGATATGTGTAGTTATTCATGTCATGATTCTGACCCCAAATTATCCATTGACCTTTTAAAGATTTGTGTGTTTTTTTTCCAGTAGACAAAATTAACAGAGGACAGCGTTAGGTAACTTCGAGCACTGGGTCTTACTCCTGATTCGCCAGCTTGCCGAAGCGCTCAGGTACGTCTTTCCAGAGTTTGTGTGTGTGTGCTATTATGGCTAGCCAGTTGCTGATCAAATGTTCAGCAGGTTTGTTGTTCCCTTGCTTAAGCAGTTGTTGAGAACGACATTTTTGCGCATGTCTTTTCAAACTTCTTTAGAAAAATCGGACTTGCTTGCAGCTTTCTTAAATATTTATTTGTTGGTAATGCAAAGCAGCCTTTGGAAGAGGCTAAGGAGAAGCTCTCTCAAGTTTTCATGTTCCAGTAGGTGTTTGCTTTGTTGCACCCTCAGACTTTTTGTGACACTTGAGATTTTTTGCGGTTTATTTAGACCAGAAGATGCTATGCTTCGGGTTGACTTCGTAGTGTGTGCTGGCCAACAAGAGTTTTATGCGCTTCGGACAAGCTATTGATGAGTTCAATGTACTTGGGGAAGTTGTGTACCTTATTGCTATGTTTCAGTCTAGCAAAGGGGTTATTACTGGTAGTCTCATCAGCTCTAAGCATGGCGGAGGTGATTTTTAAATTGTTATTATAGCACAGAACATTTATCTAAAATATTGTTTGAAGAAACTTTAGTTTTTTTGATTTGTTATGTAGGCTGGTCATATCCTCTACATAAATGATGTCTCCAACATCGGGCACATTCCTCTTTTGCTGAGGGTACGCAGTGTTCTTGTCAAGCACTTTCTAACACCATGCACCTTCGTAGATAGCATTTCATATTCTATTTGGGTCATTATGAACTTGATGCCAGTATTTTTTGTTATTATTCTGTTGAAAAGAGTCAGTTATTTACAAGTTGCCCATCAAAAGGATGAATTTTGGAAGAAGTAACTTGTGGACGATTTTGATGTTTACTTTCTTTTGGGTTATCATTTCGCAGCAATATCCTGGTTTGGTGAAACTGACCTTACTGTGGTATGCAATGAGTAGGATCAGCAAGGGCATCAAGCAATTCTTCGCAAACTACAATTGAGGTTAGTCTATGCTGTCTGGATCTGTCTAGCAAGGTGTTCTAGTTCAATCTCAGAGAAACTTGTAGCACCACCTCCCTTCAGAAAAATGGATCTCGCTTGTATGGAGCATTGACTCAGTGGTATTTAGTTATAAAGTTGGAGTCGTCACGAACCAAGACGCTTTTGAGAGTTAACATGTCCAATACATCTATGTTGTGCAGTTGTGCACCACTCCCTGCCTTGGAGTCATAGGCTACTCGAGCTGAGCGATGTGACAACCTTTCTATCGCAGTACCTTGCTTTACTTATCTATTTTCGCTTATAACAGCAATAGTTATTGTTTTTTCTTGCCCTTCGCTTTAAAAGTTTGGTATTCCTGATATTTATTGTGGATCTTTTCTTTCAGGTAAAGATTTTTATGGCTTAAGAATTTACTGGTTTGTCAGACTTGTATCTCTCGGTTCTGAAGGTAATTTGAACGATTTGAGTCTGATGTACTTTTTTCAGTGCCGACTTTTAGGTACTAGTCTATAGAAAATTGATTATTTAAATTCATTAATGATTTGCTACAGCTTGCCAATTTGCACAATGTTGGAGTATCTTTTCGACCTGACTAGCTCCTCTTTCCTTACTATCAACGATTTGAGACCTTAGTAACTAGAATATAATATTTCCACCGAATTTGAAATGTTGTGTACGTATGGCCAGTCTTTGCAACATGCTTCATTGCATGTTCAAGAAAGCTGCTGTTGGAGTGGGTTGCGGCTACTGATCTGGAGGATTGTGCCAAGGAGGAGGTATGTTTTCTGTTAAGTGTGCATCAAGGGAGTAGTTTGTTGCCTGAAAGAATGGAATTGAGGAAGGGAGTTGTAAAGTGTTACAGGACTAGACCATTATGTGTAACCATGGTGTCTCCTTGATTTTGGGCTCAGCATGTGTTCCATCATAATGGTCCTTGGTGAACCATTATGTGGAACCAAGGATGATGGTTCCATCATAATGTGGACCATGGTGAACCATTATGTGGAACCTTGGCCCTGGTCGGCCGTCCTACGTTTCAAAATTAATCTAGCATAATAGACACTGAATGGTCTCTTTGTGTCCGTGCAGGCACCAGAAGCATATGATTCCGCTTGGAATACCTTGAAGGTGTATCTCTCCTGATGCTTAAAGTTGTCTGCAGAATGTCATGGTTTTTATAGTGAATTCAATTTAACGAGGTGTGTATTGATTATTCTTTCTGTCTCCTCACAGAAATCTCATGATGCGCTCGTCCCTAATGGATTTGGTGACCGTGGGGTTCAAGGAAAGATACTAGCTGCTACTTATGTGCGTTCAAATGGGGTTTCCTACCTGGGCATTTGGTTAGGGATGCAGCTTGCTGTTGTGGAGTTTGCCAGAAACGTAAGCTACTTAATTTTCTTCTACCTGCATATTGATGTGACATTACCTGACGGATTCAGAATAATGACTTATTAGTATATGATTCTTTTTTCTCGCGTATGCACATGGTATGGAAGATTAATAAATCACTCGAGAAGTTCTCCATCTACTACACTTGTTTGTGTTAATAGATTCTTGGATTGAAAAACGCCAATAGCACTGAATTCGACTCTGCTACACCATTCATGTGTTTTATTATGCCAGAGGTTTGATTATTCCTATTTTGTTTGTGTCGAAGTTTTGTTCATGATATTGTTATAGTCTAAGAATCTTGATTTCTCTACTTTGAGTCACCTACGTCACCTGCAGAATTTTCCTGTTTTTCAGCCGTACTCTTCTGGGTAATATTCTCTTGGCTCAGCTAGCTTGATCTGGCCTTGAATGAAATTAAATTGGTGGTTGTGAAGGTCTCTGAAACACACATGGGTGGCACAATGAGACTTGGAGGTCGCAAGATATTGCTATAACCACCGGTTGCACAACAGCCAAGTTGTAAGTTATGAAAGTCAATTGTCTTTAATATCATTTTCACTGCACAATTAGAAGCAGGGATTAATAGCTGAAGTTCGTGTCTGGTTGAATTCAATTGCAAGATATGGTAGTGTATGGTTCTTCAGTTATATTCTCCTGTTTGTGCGTTTGATTGAGGTGAAGCTATACAGTTGCTTCAGTTCTTGTTATGTGTTGTGTTTCTTTGTGATATCATTCTTGAAACATAATTTATGCTCAAGCTGAGATTTTAATCCTTTCTGTTCTTGTTAGCGAAAAGATTCATTTTAAAATAAGCGTCACAGACATCGTTATGAGACGATCAATCATCATTCAACTTCTGTTGGACACACTAGGTCCCTAGGATACTATGTGTATTAAGTTTATTGCTTTGTTGAAACTGTTGGAGCGTAAGACATTCCATTCTGGCAGTTGAATCCTAATGTGATAGAAAGTTTAGAGCCGCTGGACTTCGGTATGTTTGCAAGGACGAGTCAGGACGTATGATGGAGGTATCATCGAACTCATTGCCATTGTGCTAATAAGATACCATCGAAACTAACTGCAGCTACTTTTTCTTGGTATTGCAATTGAGACAGCAGTTAAGTTTCTCATGTTAATAGCTTAAAATAAGTATGTTCCCACTTTATAATTTTGACGCACTCATATCTAGAACTGTTCATATGGGTGTCCCAAAATGATTGTTCCTGGGATTGTTAAGGTTAGGAACTGCGAGGACATCCCTATCATGTGGGCATTCAATTTCATCCAGAATTCAAATCGCGACCCGGGTAACCTTCCTCAGTTTTCTTAGGTTAGGTTTCTGGTCTCCTTATTTGATTTGGAACTTTTGTAAACAATAAGGGAGTCATGCACACGTACACGTAAGGTTGAATACTTACCAACTCCTTCACCAAGTTGGACATTCTCTGAGACGTCAGAATTTTGGAATCTTGTTTCATATTGTCTACTAATGTCGATATCTTTAGTCAACTCGATTTCTTTATGTTCTTTTAGATGCATACAAGTGGGTTGTGATTATACGAGCTGCGGAATAAACTCACAATTGCAGTGGGTAGTGTGAACATGCGGTTATGCAGTTGTAATAAACAGATTTATGGACTCAGCATGCAGGTTTAATTTTAACTGCCTCAGGTCAAAAGGTTCGTTACATCAATGGTATACATTCATTTTGAATAAGAAGAAATCATTCAACATCCTACTCCAGCCTTACTGGGATGTGTATCTCCCAAGCTGTTTTTTCATTGTCAGTCTTCATGGAACGATGTGATTTTTGCATGTTACTGTTTACTATTTCTCTACTGCAAGTGAATGTGATGTTGGAATCTTGACTGTTCGGTCTGTAGTTACTATTCCTGTACATTATGTAGAATGTTCCAGACCTTGGGCCCATTTGAGCAGTGTTATGCCTTAAATTTTGCTGTAAAGGGCACATCCTGCTATTGAGCCTGACTTGGAGGACTCATTATTCTCTGGGATTAGAGAATGAGAATTTCATACTCCCTTGCTTCAATGTAGGTGGCGTGGCATCACTCACGGACACAACTGTTCCCCTGAACGGATTTTAATGACAATGATTATCATAATTCTCTATCGCTTGCATGGTTTGGAGATCAAAGATGCAATTTTGCAGGTGACTTCAGCTCTGTTCACGTTTGTTTCAGGTGCGTAAAGGATTGTGGTAACAATTTCATTGTCGGATGACGTAAATCCATTAGCAGGACACAGAAAAAGTGAAAGGGAAAAACCAACGAAATAGATCAAAAAAACAGATGGCCCCTTGTATAATTCCGCATAAACGCAAGTCGGTTTGAAATAAGCTCACAATTATCCAATCGATTGGGGAGAGAATGCTTCTCCACCACAATGGATGCATTTCCATTAACAGAGCTTCAAGTTTCTGCACTTTCCCATTGCAAACGATATTGTTCACTCATAACTTCTGCAATTAGTGCGTGAGTAGCTAAGGTGCGACCCTGAGGCACCTTCAAACCAGAAGTAGAAACCCAGTGGGTTATGAAGCTCTTTATAAAAGCAACAAGTAATTCCAAATCAAGGGCAATTGGAACTCGTAGGTCCAACGCATTAACAAATGTGCACATAAAACGCAGTCTAAATTGTGCATATTTACTCACTGTAGTGATGTCAAGGGTTCGAAGCTCTCCTCTTCATCAGGTTGTCATTGTTTCCACAGGCTAAGAAAGTTGAAAGACGAATGGAAATGATGCTCCTAGCTAAGGACTTCCAGTATGAGCAATACACTGATAGAGATCCTAGTGTTTGAACAATTGGGTAAGCTTGCATCATGAAAAACGTTGCAGATTACTGGAACTCAGTGTTCAATATTAAAGTGTAATTTGCAATAGTTTTTTTTTTCTTGTTTACCAGAATGTTATGGCTGAGTCAAAAGCTTGCTTGAACCTTCAATCCGTCCTTGAAGAGTAAGATCTGGTCATGAATAGTTGCAGACAGCCAGTCATAGGCACGTTCCCTAGTAGGATCTTCAATCTAATCAAGGCATAGGTCAATTGACCTGAATGACAAAACTGACACCATTGACTGAACATTGTGGATAGAAACAATTAAATAAAAAAAAGTTAAATATATTTTTTAAGAATGTGGAGTCAAAGAATACCTTAACTATTAATATATAGCCTTTAAATTGTTAATGGTAAAATTATTAGAAAGAACACAAATTTGTTGAGTGTATTTTGATGGGATAGGTACAACAATCAGATCATGAAAGGTCCAAAGGTAATTTTATTTTGTTGAGAATGTTTAGAAAGACACAAGAGTAATAGTAAGTCATACATACACACAAGAGTAGTAGTAAGTCATACACACAAGAGGGTTTCTAAGGAGAGAGAACTTCACACACACAAAAATCTATTCATCTAGTTGTGTCTCGTATACAAGAAGAAAAAAAAGGAGAGGATAAACAATACTTCTCCACTAGATTTTAAATATTGTAGCTATGGTAATTATTGTAGTCTACAATAAATATTATGGAGAGCGTCGGCTATATTTAATGATCTCAACACTCTTCCTCGCTCATCATAATATTTACATAATATAAAATTTATATAGAATTATGATCTATACTTTTCTGTGATCTTGCAAGATCAACAATTGTTGCCTCATTAAAATATTATCTAGGAAAACCTTATTTTATTTAAGTTAAAACCATAGATGAAGGAAAAAGAGTACAACATCATTTTCTTTAATTATTTAAAGAGCTCATTTACTTTTTTATTCAAGAAAAGCAAGTCGTCGCATACCAATGCCATAAGTAAGTCGACGATGGTTGCTTAATGAAAGACCTTTGGTGAAGAGATCAGCAAGGTTATTTGTAGATTCAATTTTCTTAATTATAAGTACTTGATCAGTAATTAAGTCATGAGTATAACTAAAATACTTTAGATCAATATGCTTTGTCTTGTTGCCTTTAATGAAACCAACTTGCATCTGTGTAATACAAGCACTATTATCTTCATGCAAGATAGTTGGAGAATCATCATATGAAAATCCACAAGTTGTTTGAATGAATTTATCAATTGATCGCAACCAAATACATTCTCGAGATGCTTCATGTAAGGCAATAATTTCTGCATGGTTGGATCAAGTTGCAGTTATTGTTTGTTTCACTAATTTCCAAGATATTGCAGCTCCATATCTTAAGAATACATATCCTATTTGAGATTGAGCTGTTGCAATATCAGATTTATATCATGCATCACAATATTCAATCAATTTTGGATCTGCGGATTTTGTGTAGTATAATCCTAAGTCTTCAGTACTTTTTAAATAACGTAATAAATGTTTGATGCCATTCCAATGTTATAATGTTGGACATGCACTATGTCTTGCAAGAACACTAACTGCAAATGCAATATCTGGTCTTGTAGATGTAGCTAAATACAAAAGTGCTCCAAACTCTAAGAGGTATGGATATTGGTGTCCCAATATTTCCTCTTCCTCATCGTATGGACAATATGGATCATGACCATCACGACCACATCCAACCATTGGTGTGGACAATAAATAAGCATCAATCATATTAAATCTTCATAAGATTCGTCTAATATATATTAGTTGGTAGAGAAAAATGCTACCATGTGTTAGATACATAATCTGAAGGCCAATGCAAAAAGTTATTTTTCCTAGCATTTTCATCTCAAATTCATGTATTAGTAGGTTTGTAGCTGTAACACATGCAGATGTAGTGCCCACTAGGTTAAGATCATCAACATATACAGCAATGATTACAAAACCAGTTTTATCTCGTTTGATAAACAAACAAGGGATTAGTGGATCACTTATAAAATTATTTGTAATTAAATAATCTCGAAGATGTTGATATCACATTCGTCCAGATTGTTTTAAACCATACAAGGCCTTATATAATTTAATACCACGATATTTTCTTGAAGCAGGTTGATTTGAAGTTCCTCTTTCTAAGTCAGGTGGAACTTTCATATAAATATTTGCATCAAGAGAACCATATAGATATGCACTTACTACATCCATTAGATGCATCTCAAGGGTAGCATGAACTGTTATTCCAATAATATATTGAAATGTAATTGAATCCATGACTGAAAAATATATGGATTCATAATCAATGCCAAATCGTTGAGTAAATCCTTGAGGAACAAGGCGAGCTTTATAGCAGGTTATTTGGCCTTGAGCATCTTGCTTGCATATTAATACCATTTTATATCCCACAGGGCAAGATGTAAGAGTGTCTACAATTGGATCAAAGACTTTCCTCTTATGCAAAGAGGCATACTCTTCCTCAATAGTAGTTTTCTATTTTGACTAATCTGAGTGATGCATCGCCTCTTTGATGGTTTGAGGTTCAAGATCGTCTTCCTCATAAAAAAGTGCTTCTATAATCATATATGCAAATGATTCATCTATCGTAATAGCTAGTTTGTCCCAAATATCATCTGTAGCACAATACATAATAGATAATTCTTTACTCAATTTGTTCTTATTCCTTCGAATTCCAAGATTATTTTTCATAGGAATTGAAGGTACATTATGCATCGATATATCATCATGAATTGGTAGTCTTGCAAGATGAGTGGCAATTTCTTGAGAAATAATACCAGGATTAGTTAATTTTATAGCTTTCTTCTTATGTGGTTGCTTATCTGGTCCATGTGTTCTTTTAGTTGTTGTTGTTATAACTTGAGGTATTGTAGTCAATGGCACTGCAATTTGAGCAGGTGCATTCTGAGCCTCATTAATAGGAACTCTTGTAATTCTAGGTGCATCATTGAAGCCATTAGGTGTTTCATCCATAATCTGTTTTAAATACAAAATCTTAACAACTTCAATTTCTGCCAAAGATGTCTTAGGATCGGGATTTATTATAAATGTTTTTGGTGCTTCAAATATGAGTACTTTATTTCTTTGTTGATTGGATACTCTTCCTTTAAGAGATGGAAATACAGTTTCTTCAAAACGACAATTTTGCAAACGTGCACATAATAATGTGCCACTTGATGGATCAACAATACGAATAATGCTTGGTGAATCAAAACCTACATATATGCCTTCCTGTCAATGAGTTCCAATGGTACACCGTTGAGGTTCTAGTATTAGAATCCAAGCACGGCAATCAAATATTTGTAAGTGAGATACATTTGGAATACGACCCAAAATGAGCTCATGTGGTGAAACAATTCCAAGAAAAGAAGGACAGAGGCGTATTAATGCTATAGCATGTAAAACTGCATGACCCCACATAGATGCAGATAGATTTGCGTGAAGGAGGAGTGGCTAGGTAATGAGTTGTATATGCTTTATAAATGACTCTACAAGTCTATTTTTAGCATGTTTATATGGAACACAATATATCAACTCGATTCCTGTTGCAGTACAATAGTCTTCAAAAGACTTTGATGTGAATTCTTTTGCATTATCCATACGCAATGTTTTTATAGTATAATCAAGAAAATGTGCCCGAAAGCAAATAAGCATAGATATAAGATTGGAAAACACCATGTTTTGAGTTGATAATAATGAAACATGTGATTGTTTACCTGATGCATCAACAAAGACCAAAAAATAACGAAGTGGTCCTGATATTGGATTAATAGGACCACAAATATCACCATGCAATCTTTGAAGTATTGGTGGTAATTCTTGTGGAAGTTTCCAAATTGAAGGCCGAGTAATCATTTTACCTTGTATGCATACACGACATAATTCCATAGAATCTACATTTGTAGGCTTTAAATTGTATCCAGTTATACATGGAATGATCTTTCTAAATAATGTGGATCTTGGATGTCCCAATCATCCATGCTAGAGAGAAACACAACTCTCTGAGATAGATGATGCAAAATTAAATATAATGGGAGGCCGAATCACAATTTGCTATAAACCATTTTCTATAGCAAAAGCTTTTCAATAACTTTATGGTTCTTCGCAAGAATCAAAACCTCTTTTCTATTTAAAGTAGCGATCGAGAGGTGATAACCATTAATATACACATCTCGATAGTTGATTAGACTCCGAGGTATTGAGGGTGCAAACATCACATGTTTACATTTTATGATGGAACCCGCAAGTAATTTTTCCATCGCTGTGTCCTCTTGGAAACAAAATGCATTTGCTCCAACCATGGTCATCATATTTTTAGTTTACCAAGTTGAAGATTTTTCAATAAAAAATTGTCTATCTCGCAAGATAGTATGTATTGTTGTAGAATCAATGAATGCATCATTTGATTCATCATCAGAGGTTCTATCATTCATATAAGCCTCTAAGTCATCAATACCAATTGAATCCATGAACGCATCCATGGTATGAACTTCACGAGCCTCAGCTTGTAATTTCTTATTTTCTTAGAATATTTTAATAAAATATTTTGAAGTACGACACGCATATGCTAAATGTCCAATCATTCTACACTTATGGCAAGAACGCATCTCTGATTTTTATTTTCTATTATAATTAATAGTAGAACATTTATTCTTTCCATATGGGTAGAAATGGTCTTGACTATGACTACCGTGATACTTATGAGTATGTTTTCCATGTTTATATAATTTCTTCTTAGGCTTTGAAATATTAAGTGCATGAGATTTTCGAACTGTAGTTTCAATAGGACGAGCTTCCACATTGCGCAAGAGTAGCTCATTTTGCTTCTCCGCAAGAAGTAGATAGGACATGAGATTAGAATGACTCTGAAATTTCATGTTCCTGTATTGTTGTGCAAGCACAGCAGATACATGAGGAAATGTAGAGATAGTTTTCTCAATCATTTCTTCTTCAGAAATGCTTTGTCCTTATAATTATAATTGTGAGACAATACTATACATTTCAATATTGAAAGCATTTAAATTTGGAAAATCCAAGATACATAAATGTGTCCAATTATGACGTGCACGTAGAAGAAAAATGATCTTTTGATGATCAAAGCTAGATTTAAGATTCTTCCAAAGTTCTACAGGATCTTCTATTTCCAACTATTGATGTTGTAATGCACGTACAAGGTGACGAGGAAGGAAAAGAAGTGCTTTCCAACGAATAGCATGAGGTATAGAAATACTTATTGTAGGAGACTCTTCAAACATAATAGCATCCGAGAGTTGTTCTGTAAATAAATTTACTTTTGCCATTTTTGTCCATAATAGATAATTGTTTCCATCCATAGTCAATGGTGGAAATAAAAGAGCTTGAAAATGTTAGGATGTACTGGTAATAGTTGGAACCATAGTAGAAGTAGTTGAAGATGTTGAAGCACTCATTATAAATAAATCTGTAAAGAAAATACAAGATCAAGTAGAAAATTTGAGTAAAACGTATCTTAAAATATAAAGTCAAATAAAATGATAAACTTGAACTTGAAAAAATAAAATATATATATATATATATATATATATATATTAAAGAGATTGTAGATTAAGGCAGCAGAACAACAATAAGATGGAGGCAACAAGCAGTGGTAGGGCGGCAGGGTGGCAACGGCGGGCATCGATGGACAACAGCGGCGGATAGCAGCAGCATCGTTAGGGCGGCGACGGCGGCGGGAGGCAGCGTCAGCGATGATAGGATGGCAGTGGCAACAGTAGCGGGTTTGGCGATAGCTCGACGGCTATTTGGCAGTAATTTGGTGGCAGGCATGGGGTGCAGTAGGGAGCAGGCTGGGGTGGAGTTAGGTTGGATTAAGTATTCTAAGCAAGTAGGACAGAGAGTGGAACAAGTGCTCTAAGCAAGCAGCTAATGTGTGAAGGGCCAGTAAGAAGAACAAGATCATGAGGCAGACAGTGAGGCAGAGACTGAGCAAGGATAGCAACAAGTTTGAAGAGTCAAAGACTAGAGCAAAAAATTGTGATAGTGTATAGAAGAGAGTCGTGCTGATAACGTGTTGAGAATGTTTAGAAAGACATAAGAGTAATAGTAAGTCATATACACACACAAGAGTAGTAGTAAGTCATACATGCAAGAGGGTTTCTAAGGAGAGCTTCACACACACAAAAATCTATTTATCTAGTTGTGTCTAGTATATAAGAGGAGAAAAAAGGAGAGGATAAACAATACTTCTCCACTAGACTCTAAATACTGTAGCTATGGTAATTATTGTAGTCTACAATAAATATTATGGAGAGCGCCAGCTACATTTAATGATCTCAACACATTTCATAGATTTTATATACATCAAAATAAATTTATATATTTATACTAGGTTTGGAGTCCCTTGTTGTGCTATGGAAATAACATGTCATAATTAGTCATCTAGGTGTAATAAAAAGAAATTTAATTTAGATGGATATATGTAGAAGACATACAAACTGAACAAAACTACGAATAAAACGATTGGAACGTACAGTTCATTAGAAGAGGAGAGAAAAGGGTATATATATCCTTACAATATAATGAGACTAAGATGAATAAACTCTATTTGTCCTAACAGAATGTATAACAAATGAGTAGGTGAGAGTAACGTTCAACACTCCCTTCTACTCTCATCTCCTCGTTTTTACATCTCCTTCAGTGATGGCATTTCCTCAGAGGATTCGAGATTTGAACCCTTCAAGTTTTTGTCTGAGCCGTTTGTTTGAAGGAAGATTTTACTGAGTTTTATGGTCTGCTTTTGTTTCTCTTGTTCGAAGCTCCAGATTTTGCTTTTGGTATTTTGGTCGCTGTTGTTCCTGCTCCAGCAAGTTCTTGCGGCGATCCTCTCTTGTGTGGAGAGATGGATCTCCAGGGATTTATATAGTTGAGATACTTGTGAGCCTTATGTGAAAGGATTTAGTGGTGCTAATTTAAAAAGCTTTAGATCTAGAATTGAAGTTGAGACCTATATGATTAGCTAATTTGACTAATGGGTTTGTAGAGATCTATTTCATCTATCGTTTTCAGGCTAAGTTTGTTCCTACAAGCTTCAAATTTGCTCCTTTCTAGTGCTTTAGTGAGTATATCAGCCAATTGTTCGTTGGTTGGTTTAGTAGTGCTGCTCGTTGACCAAAGATTTGCTGGTGGCTTTGCGCAGGCGGGTCGTTTCGGGCAATGGGACGTGAGAGTGGGCACAATGAGTCATGTTGTAGTCGGCAAGGATGGTACGAGCGTAATTGGATTAGTGGAGAAGTATTCCCCCATCAGTTTGTAAAAACTGTACTCCTAAGAACTTCTGTATAAGGCTAAGTTCCACCATTTTGAACTCTTTCTGTAGTAGCCTTTTGAGAGTTGCGATGGCATGCGGATCTGAGCCTGTGATCAATAGATCGTCTACATATAGAACCAGCATTACGGCCGAGGATACATGTGTGGTGTAGTAAACATTTGAGTCGGCTTGCTTACGGGACATACCTTTGTTGCGTAGGAAACTATCTATCCGACTATACCAAGCTCGTGGGGATTGCTTCAGTCCGTGGAGTGACCAGTTCAACATGCAGACTAGATGTTCGGAGCCTGGAGTTATGCACCTTGGGGGTTGGAGCATGAACACATCGTCGTGGATATAGCGGTTGAGGAATTCTGTGGCCACATCCATGTGGTAGATTGGCCATGAATGGTGTTCGGCGAGGCCGATGACTAGGCGAATGGACTCCCACCAAATTGTGGATGCGAAAGTTTCTTGAAAATTCACTCCATGTTGCTGTTCGAACCCGCATGCCACGATTCTGGCTTTGTGGCGGGCAGGGCCGCCATTGATACCAAGCTTGACTTTATATATCCATCGAGCACTGATTGGGCAAACTCGGGGAGGTAGAGGGACGAGATCCCACGAATTATTCTTGAGGATGGAGTTGAATTCTGATTGCATAGCTGAAATCCAGCGGAGGTCATATTGGGCCTCCTGGAACGAAAGTTGTTCGCTCCCTTCCTCTGTGGTGGCTATGAAGAATTCGGCTAGATCAACGCGGACATAGCTGTCATGGGAGCGCGGCGGAGCTCGAATGTGGGTCGAGCGGCGAATATGCTGCGGTGATTTGTCGGCGAGGTTGTGAGATTGCGAAGCGTGTGATTGCGATTGTTCGTCCATATTAGCCGCAGGAGGTTTTCCGGTAGGAGTAAGAATAGGATCTTGGACTACCTAGGCATTGCTGGGGTCTTGATGGAGGCCGGCCACCGCCTCGTCAAGCCGTCGACGGATGGTCGTCTCCATCCTGTGTCTCTCCTCCGCCTTGTTAATACACCACTTCTTGTAGAACTTTACATACCTACGAATTTTCCCAAAAAATCCCAAATTTGCGTGTGCAACCCACAGCCGACGTATTTGAGCCTGGACCGCTGGGTCGTTCAAAAATGTCGAATTCATTACGTAACGCAAATTCCTCCTCGGTTATGGGAATAGTTGTACCTCCTTCCACACGGAGAGGTAGTCCGAGTGGGTGTTATCACCTCTGATGTGGTACTCTGAACTCTTGGGCTTGGACCCGGGTAATGAGAAGGCATATATCCGATCGAGTCTAGCCATGGGTCGTGACGCCCCTCTTCGATGGATATCCCAGTTGAATCTGATGTTATTCGATGCTGAGAAGTCGTCCGCAACCTGCAGTGTCTTAGTAAGGTTGTGGAACAGTCTCAACTCTTGGGTGGGTGGTAGTGACCCGTTCATGTTCGACTTGTCCGCTCTGCTTTCCGTGAAAATCCAATTGCCACCAATTATCCACCTGCAGTCTTTCGGCAGGTCCTGGATAAATTCCTCCAAGACTACGGGCAGGGGGCAATCTGCATCTTCATTAGTCTTCCATGCTGCTATGGATTGAGTACATGTTCTCTTTGCGCCGTGTAAAGCATGGCAATCCTTCACTATGTACGTACTTGAGATACAGTATCGACACTGAATCGGAAGATTGTTATAATCAACCTTTATAAGAGTTACGTCTCCCATTATTAGATTCACAACACCCAACGTTAATTCAAACAGTACACCGATCTTCAGAGCTATACAAAACTTCTGGTCTAAGCAATGTGCATTCCCTCGATGTTTGCCCACCACTGCTCCTAGGCTTTAAGCCAACTCTTGCAATCTGCTCCGAAACTAGTCTAGTACTGCTTTCAACATAATCCACGTAGGCATTTTCATGTCTGTGGATTGAGCCGGGTTAAACCTTAAGACAGGTTGAAATATGCATGTGCCCCACCTTAAAATGTGGGGCACGTATATAAGCAACTTTTGTGTAGCTGCCTCGTCTTTCCCAATAACTTGAAAAAAACTGAACCCTAAATCTCTCTCAAGCTGGTACTCCTTTGTTATTTCCTTCAATATGCTGGTCAACCACTCTTACTTGGTTTTGGGTAGTTGTTTACTCCCCACAAAATATGCAATGACCACCCGCTTCCAATGATAGTCCATTGCTTGATAAATATTGTCTTTGTTCAAAGTCACATGTTCAATATGTTTTGACAACAAAAATCCTTGGCTACTTCAAAACAAATCCTTTGGTAAAATCTCACCTAGCATCACTTTTGTCGGATGGATCATCACTTGTCTCCCCATCTTTGAGGTAGCTACTACTAGTTCAAGCTCTATTTGCTCTTTTTTTCATGCACATTCTACTTTGTTACATTGTCGACAAGGATACTAGTGCATGTGCAAGTCTATTTCTTTTTACTGCCATTGCATACAAAGACAAACTTGTTATGAATAACATGTCTACTTTGTCCTATCTTTGTAAATTGGAATTAAGAACATGTTAATCTTTGGATTACACCCTTACTAGTCTTAATCAGAGTAACACCTTAATCCTTAATTTAAATTCCACCTGAAGTTGATATCTTTCATGTACTACTGTGGCACAAAAGATTATCCTTATCCTTGCATGACTGTGTAGGCAACTTCAAGATTGAATTAAACAGATTCTCTTGAACTTAGCGTGTGTTTCTTTATAGTCTCATAATATTTTATGATAACATAATTATATGGTGAAAATTAAAAAAAATATGGATGTTATTATAGAAGAGCCTTGTAGAAAGATGTAGTAAAAAAATAATGATAAATGACATGAAGATAGTAAAAAGTTAGGTCTTAATACTACATTTTATAGAAAGAACTTGTATTTCTTTTATAGAGGCATAAATCAAAGTAAATGAGATAAGTAAATAATATAGACATCTTTAGGAAAGAATTAGTAATATGTTTAAGCAAAAATTATCTCAAATTACTAAAAATTGATACTCGAAGAGGACTAGTTGTAAACTTGGGTCAAAATCTAAACTTGAAGTACAAAACCACATACATGTGGAAACTTTAAGGTTCTTTTGTTAATTAGAGAGTGAAATTTGAGAGTAAAATAGAGAAAAGATTTTGAGAGTTGGTTTATGTCATTTGGATTAATATTAAGATCTTGAAGGATTTTCAAAGTTAGTGATGTATTTGGTGGATTTAGATTTTGAGAAATAAAAAAAAAGTTTACAAATTTTAAATTTTTTTGAGTTTTATAGTATATTTATAGATGAATATTTGGCAATTTGTGCTTGTTGTAAATATATTTAAGAAATTTGACATCAATTGAGTAATTCAATTGAAGAATATGAAAATTTTTGTAGGTTATCATCTCAAATAATTAAAATTTAGGATCAATGAGGGATTTTGTAATCTAAAAATATCTATTAATTTGATTAAAGAAAAAATTAATAAAAAAAATTTAGACTTGAATATCTACACAGAATCCAAGTTTTAGATCAATTGAACTGTTCAACAAGGAGAAATCTTTGTTGAAAGATCAGCATTCAAATTAGAGAAGATGGATTTTCAACAATCAAGAGCTTTTCTTGTAATTGATAAGTTTGATTCTTCTCAAATTTTGTATGCTTGTTAATTGTTTATTGATTGAAGTTTGGATGAAATTTTAGTTAAAATCTATAATTTTATTAATATTTATTGAACTTTCAAATATCCATAATAATTGATTAAGATTTACTTAAGCTTTTCTTGGAGTTATTCAAGATTTGATTAGGATTGGTTTAGGATTTAGGATTTCATTAGGATTTAGGATATTTCTAGGATTTTTTTAGGATTTAATTAGGGTTGGTCTGGGGTTTAGGATTTAGTTAGAATTTAGGACATATTTAGTATTTCATAAGATTTGACCTAAGATTTTAATTAGGGTATTAATTAGGATTTAATTAAGATTCAATTTAGATTTTATTTAAGTTTTATCAAAGTTTTAATTTAGGTTTTAATTAGAATTTAATTAAAATTTAATCTAAAAATTAATTAAGATTTATTGAAATTTTAATTAAGATTTAATTGGAATTAAATTAGAATTTGATTAGGATTTATATAAATTTTAAATTTTTAGTATTTCTTTAGGATTTTTTTAATATTTTTAAATTTTTTATTTATTATATTTTCTAAAAGATTATTATTATTTCTATAAGATTTTATTTTTTAATATTTCTTTAGAATTTTATTATTATATATCTTTGAGATTAATTTATGACTTATTTTTATTTCTTTTGTAATTTCTTTTTAATTTATTTAGATTGGTTAAAATTTGATTAAGCTTTTTAAAGATTACTTAAAATTTATTTAAGATTCTATTAGACTTAATAGGATTGTTGTTGCATTTTTACTTATCTTCTATAATTAAGTGCCTGGTGCATTTTCAAGCAAGATTACATGTAATATAACAACAATGATTCTCATGCTTTCATGGAGAGGTTAGCTGGAGCACCATCACCAAAGGTCAAGCATTACCAAAAAAAACTAAAAATTACTTGCAATTTATAATATCATTTTGTATGAATTATATTAATTATGAAATATATAAAAATTATATATCTATAATAATTTTTTTAATGCTTATTTAGTAGATATATATTTTTTAAGCTTATTTATATAAAATATGAAAAGATTATTTTTCTTGCATTCTTGGCTAAGAATAAAAATAGAGTGAAGAACTTTTGAAGTATTATTTAAAAAATTAGTACTCATTTAAGTGCCATTGTGGAATTTGTGACTCAATAATATTAAGTTTAAACTTTAATCAAGGCAATAGAGGTTCAAAGTTGTATAGAAATATTATTCTTAAATCTGTGAATACTTATTTTCTTGACTTTTGATACCTTGAAGATTGTCCATTGAAAAATCTTAGATTTTCAAATCTTAATTTAAGGCATTTGGAAGAATCATCTTAATAGTTGTCATTTTTTCATAATAAATTCTAAGTTTCTAGCCTTAAACAAGAGATTTTCTTTATTTTTTAATTTATTCTACTGCAAATAGACTGATTGATATAGATTTTTTTCAAAAAGAAGCATTTAGAATAAACGTTGAAAAAAATATTTAAAATTAACTAAGATGATTACAAAGAATATTAATTAAATAAACTTTATCTTTAAAAAATTATAAAATAAATAAATGCATAAAAGTATAAATAAAATGTTTTATCTTTTAGATAAGTATATATGGACACTATCATATTTAATATATATATATATATATATATATATATATATATTTATGAATAATATATTATACTTAGTCATCAAGGTGTAATAAAAATTTGTGTAGTTTATAGATAGATGAAAAAATAATAGTAATAATTTTTTATTATATTTAACATAAAAAATGTGTACAATAAATATATATATTTTTATCTATTTTAAAATCCATTTAATTTTTTAGAATTATATGATTTATGTATAAAATCAATATTTTAAAATAATAAAATTAAATAAATTTTAAAAAATAAATATACATTTTGAGCATAATAAATAGATTTTATTTAATATTATTTTTTATTTTTATTATATTTTCTTAATTATAGGATTTTTTTAACCTAATTATATTAACAAGGATGACTTAAGTAAGTTAGATATAAATTAGAAGTAATTTGGAAATAAATTAAATTTAATCCAAATTGCTATACTTTTAATCTTCATAAGTGATACAAATTTTTATAGATTAAGGCATGTGATTAGTCAATCTTTCTTTTAAACATATGTTTCTAATACAATCATGTAGTTAGTTTGGTCAAAAAAGCATTTTTAGGGCTTATTTGATGACCATTAGCCTTTATCTTGGATTTTGACTCTTCAATCAATGAGGGCTGCAGATGTTAGTTTGAGCTCTTTGGAATTCAAGGGTGGAGATGTGGCCGCCATCATAAGATCTTAGGACAAGAGTATAAAAGGTCTCATAGGTTCATTTGATAGAGATCTCTTCTTTTTTGTTCATAGAAAATTCCATGTAAAGTTTTCACTTGGTTTTGTAGGTAGCTTTAATTTTTTTAATTTTTAATTTTTTTTAATTAGCTCTTAAAACTTTGAATAAAGGCGAGAATCCTTTTTATAATTCTTTAAAATCTTAAAATCTTAAAATTTAGAGTTGATACAAAAAATAAATCTATAATTTAGTAAACGATGGTATAATGATTTTATAGTTTGGTAGCTCAATTTTAGAAGGCTCCTCTTCATTTTTCATAAGCTAGAATATATATATATATATATATATATTA